TACGCTTAAGTTGTGAGTTGCCAGGTTGCAACACTAGGGTTGCCAAATCTCGAAATATAAAGGCAACCTACGTATGAAGTTACAGTTCTGTTCAAAATTTACGTGATTATATTTTAAACTAAATGTTTTTAGAACCAAATATTAGTGAGAGTTGTTCAGAAACACAAAAATTAAAACGCTTTTCTGAATTCCTGTTAAAATATGTATATAATTGTTTTTTTATAAAATGCTTAAAACCGGCTCCATTTGAAAAAAAGTGTATTCGAAAACTGCATTATTTTCTTTTTCGTATATATAATGCAAATAATCGTTTAAAACACTGGCTTTTTATTCCAAATATTGCAAAATGAATGACCCAAATTCGGTTAACCCACTGCTAGGTGCAAAACCTGTTAAACAACAACACCGTTATGCCCTCATTGCGTTTGCATTAGATAAATTGCAGTCGGCCAGAGATAGCGTCAATCTGCGCAGAGTGCTCATTGATCCACACTCAGCTCATTCACCCATACCCGGATGCTTCCGTCCATAGATACAATCACTTTTCCTTTGTTCCGTCGTTTTTATTTCAACTGTTGTACTTTTTACTTTGCCACCTAACTTTAATTAAATAGCAAGCGTAATTAGTTCGCAATTAAATTAATTAAATATGCTGCTGTTTTTCACAAATTTAATGTGTGCTTCGAAAAGTTTTCATTGCACTTTTTATTTCTCTTTTAGTTTATGCTTTTTGCCTCGCTTTTAATTCGACTTGTTGCATGTTTGTCAGTCTTTTTTTCTTACAATTATTTGGTTGCATGTCTAACAGTGCGATAACGGTTGAACAATTATTTACCAACTCAGTTCGATTAGGCGCTTTTAAAGTGTAATTAAAAGGGTTTCGTTGAAATTGGAGAATGTTTGGAAGTAGTAAGTGGATATTTGACTGCACTTTCAACCAACACTAGTTCAAGGAAATTAGTTATGTATGGGTAATTATTTTGCAAGTTTAATTAAAGTAGTTCGGATCAAGAGAAACAAGAAAATTTGGGATCATACTCTTTACTCTTTCAGCGTACTATTGTCCCCGGCTTCTTTATGTCCCTCAAGCTTCGTATATGTAAACTTCTCATTTCTACCTTATGCTTTCCTCGGCGACACAGCCGATTGCAGGACATGTAGGAGCAAACTACAAACCAATTTAGTAATAAAATCACTGCTGCTGGTGACTACAATGCCGAAAACACGTGGCGTGGTTCACCATAGGCAGAGCACCTTTGATTTACGTTTCGAACAAAGGTATGATGTGTCGTTCAGTTGGTGAGCCAACTTACTGGTCATCCGACCTAACAAAAATTCCAGACGTTCTAGATTTTGCTATTTCTAAAGGTTTTAGTTTAAGGTACATACGTTCTACTACCTGTTTGGTTCTCCTATCGGATCACAGCGTAGTTCAGCTTGAAGTAAATACGCCGCTGCTCGCAATGCATAAACGCACCAAAGTACTACTCAAATTGTCAAATATTTTCAATTATCGCAAGTAGCTAGAAGAAAATGTGCACCCCAACATCGCTGTTACCTTTGTGGAAGATATCGACTAGATCGAAGCATACATAATGCTTTCCACATAAGTACGCCACAAGCTAGAACCACACAGAGCTTCCACAAGCGAGACAGACGTCTCTGTTCCAATAGGTATTGACAAAGCTCAAAAAGAGATATGGAGTTTTGGCATGCACGGCAAGTCAGTAGAAATCCGACTGACAAAACACTTCTCAAACGTGCTACAAAGGAGCTGAAACATGTTCTCGGGGACTTGCGCAACAAGTCCCTTGAGGCCTTTCTGCGAATTCAAATTTCAAAGTAATTCAAATCAAAAAAAAAAAAAAAAAAAAAATTTTACTCTAAAGGAAACAATCGAATAAACATCAACAAAATGTGGAACCGTTCAATGTGCGTGGTTAATAGAGATTTTCGCTTAGTAGAGCGTCAATGTCATAGAGCTTTAACTATATTTTTTATTTCTGAATAGTTTTTACTATCCTATCTTCTAAGTTGGTTCGAACTGGACACAGTGCGCTAAATTTTGCTAAAATCGGTTCAGTAGTTGACGAGCCCATCGCAGACAAACAACATGACACGTGATTTTTATATATAAAGAAGAAGAAGAAGATTTACTTAGTTTCTATAGAACAGACCAGAAGGGAGAAAATCAGTTATTCACTCCTGAGAAATGCGACTTGATTGAGTTCTCTCTACGCTTCTCACCATAAATCTCCGCTATGACTGCATAATTTATTTATTATTTTTTCGTTTCTCGATGCTAAATATTCCAGTGTGGCAATGTTAGCCCCCTCAAACATACCCACTGCACACACCACGACCCTCGGTGTCATTAATAGCCATCTGCTCGATTTAAGGTAAAGATCAAAAGGCGAATCAATAGCAGAGCAAGCTCGTGTGCAAATAACTAACTGCCTGACCTGGTCAAGGTTGCACGTAAACGTAATAAAATCAAGCGCAGCCGAAGACAACAAAAACCGAAAGACGGAGAATGAAGTAAACTAAATACAAAAATAATGTCAACAGCAGGAAGCACAAGTAAATGTCTTTTGAGTCTTTTGATCCGTGGGTTGATGGCATAAAAATAAGTGGACAAAGAACTTGTAAATCTGTGGCAGAGCCGAAAGCGAAAAGGAAGACAAAAAATAGTACACAAATGACAGATAAACATAGTAATGGTACAGCAACTGAAGGGCTGAAGAGCTGAAGATGTACACTGAAGTTTGTGGTGGTAGCGTGGCTAGGGCAAGCGCCGAGGGGCAGCGTCAACAGCTGACAAGGATAATCGCCTAGCCGTTCGCCAACAGGCCATTATGCGCGCTTACAAAGCACACACAGGCGATGCATGAGAAACTTAATGACGATGATAAAGTGGAGGAGAACAGCAGGTAATAAATTTCATTTCGCCTGATATGGGCAATTAAGGAACAATTTTGCAGTTGAATGAATAATAAATAAATTACCGACACACAAACCTCAGGCTCAGGCGCAGGTGAGCGGCGAGTATGGGTGGCGCAAGCGAAAGAGAAGCCACAAGATAACATCGAAATGTGCACAACAAAAATACTGTAAATTTACACACACACATATGTACGTGTAGTGACAATCAAGTGAATTTGCCATTTGTGAGGTTATGTACTAAAAATTTATTTGCGTAGGCGGCGCTATAAATGCAACTCTGAAGCTGGTAGGGGTATGCTGCGGAGGTGTATTATGGATATGCATGAATATGTGCGCGCTCCTGCCAGTTTCAGCCTGAGATATTCATCAGCGCTGTGTCGTTTTGTCAGTCCGTCTAACTGTTCACGATTGTTCAGCATGTGTGTTTGTGTATGCGTGTGTTCGACCGGCATCTCGGTCATTGTTGTCACACTCAGACGCGATGCGACGCCTTTCACCGCATCTACATGCAGCAGTCCCCCAGAGAATTCACCTTCAACATCTTCGCAAGTAAGACACACACACACACACACACGCACGACGGCCAGCAGTCAAACCATGTGAAATAGATATAAATCACAAAATTTTGAAGACGGACATTAATTTGCCTTGAAGTTGAAGTTATTGCCATTTCTGTTGTTATTGTGGTTAGCTTAGTTGTGTTGTTGGCGCTCTGCATATTTTACACAATAAATCAAGCTTAAAACTCAACAGCAGCGGCGGCGGTGGTAGATGCAGCGCCCACATGTTGGCGTCGACTGTCGGTTGTTGTCATGCAGCATTGTTGTTGCTGTTGTTTTTGTTATATATTAGCTGCTGTAGTTCATATGCACAGCCTCCTGTCGGGGTTTGTTGTGGTTCCATGCAATTTGCTTGTATGTGAGTGTGTGTGCGTGTGTTGTCATGCTGTTGATGGAATCGTGTGTGATGGAGCGTGATTTCTGCGTCACTGATGCTGTGATTCGTAGTAAAGCAATCTCACCGAAGCCATGTTGCTTCAGTCACACACGTATACATATGTACATACACACATATAAACCCACAACGTGTGAGGGTTGAGGTCTGCGGTGAGGCGGAACTTTCATAAATAAATCAATAGCATTTTAATTACCTGTTCGATTCGTATGAAAGTCATGGTAAGCGTGTAGAAAATAGCAAATGACTAGCTTGTAATTGTGAAGTCGATATGAGAGGCTATTTTTTTTCGTAAACTCGAGTTAAGGAATAGGGTTAGGGTTTGTGGGGTCTTCGGGAAGAACTGTCACCTATTCTTATTACGAAGCTGATTATTAATCATATTTGATGGTTTTTTCCATACAACTGCAGAAGAGCAGTCGTGCGAAAGCGCGGATCGAAAAAGTTTGTCTATTCCAGAAGCTCGATGTTTGGGTACCAAGTGAATTGCATTTGAAAAATTTAACAGACCGAAATAACATATGCGATTCTTTGCTAAAAAGAAATAAAATCGCACCATTTCTGAAGCGAATGTAAACAGGAGACGAAAACTGGATCAAAGACGGCAATAATGTGCGAAAAGGAGCATGGTCCAAGCGTGGTCAAACTCAACAAATAGTCGGAAAGGATTGACGTTTCGAAAGATTATGCTGGGTATTTGGAGGGATTCGAAAGGAATCGGAATTGAAGCAAGCAATCGAAAAACACCAGCCAGAACTGATCAACAGAAAGGGCTTCGAGTTCTATCAGAACAACGCTAAACCACACACATCTTTGATGACTCGGAAAAAACTGGAATAGCTTGTGTGGGAAGTTTTAATGCATCCACCTTATAGCCCTGACTTTGCACCATCCGACTACTATTTGTTTCGGTCAATGCGGAACTCTGTAATGGAGTAAAGTTGGCTTCGCGGAGGAACCAGAAAAGTGGTCGACTAAATTGGTACATATTTGGTTCATTAAAGTACATTACAAACATAAGAAAATAAGTTGAAGATTGATTAGAAATACGAAACGACTTTTTCGACTACTAAATATGAGGTGTAATAAGTGTAAGTACTCACCGGTGTCGAATAAGGATGCGCTGTCAAACGTATGCCATCGGTTTCCAATTGTTCCCGCAACACTATATCCAGCTCGTTCGGTGGCGTCTCACACAAAATCTCCATGCTGCCCGACAGCGAGCTCGGATCGTTCAACATGAAATAAACGGAAGCGGCACCTTTTTCACGCAATTGCCGTATACTCTTCAACAACTTGTGACGATGCACGGGGTTTTCCACGCCAATAGCATCCAAATCGGGATCGCCGACCTGCTTGCAAATCTCTAAATCATCATAGCCATTATCCAGAAAGCTCTCCGCATATTGCGACAGGCCAAGGGCGCGTAGCCACTCGCAAACAATATTGCTAACGGCCATTGTGAGTGTGGCAAGTTCGCAGGCGAGCGATTAACGGTGTATAGTGAACACACACACTGTGCAATGTCACACGAACAGGTGCCTGAGGAGGTCGGACGCTAATGGCGCGAAGTTTTGTACCCGAGTTGTTGATGTGCGAATTTAGCGTGTATGCGGCAATTAACGCGCTACAAAATGTCGAAACGGGACCAATTTACGCGCGCGTAATTATTGTTGACGGTCGGTTTGCTCGGTTGCTTCGTTGGGTTGGTTTGGTGGCACGCGTGTATATATGGGCGCGCTCACATGTGGCAGCGCGCGCGCTTCTAACGTAAGCGGTGGCGCGACGCGGCTTGTTGCACTCGCACGATAATAACACTTTATATTATTTATTTCACTAATTTTGCACTTAAATTTTGTAAATTCGTTTTTTTTTTTTTTATTTGTATTGTTGCGCGCTATGGCCGCGCGCAAGTGCACTGTTAGGCGGCAGTAGTCACTTGGCTGCTAGGCGCACATGCACACAGTTACGCGCAAGGGGCAACTTTTAATGGACATTGGTGGTAAATGTTGCACGGCATGCAATTTCCGCGAAAATATTTTCATTTACCGTTTCGTCGATTGCCGGGGTGGCGCGTCAAGGGGCGTTGCACATTTCGTTTTGGCGCTACTTGATATTTTACTTTTTTTTTTGCTTTGCTTTGTGCCACTGTTTGGGGAAATCTTTGCTTGCGCGCTAAATCACCTGGCGCATTTTTCGTGCAACTTTATTTTTTACTTTACTACATAAGTGGCAGTTTAAATCAATTTGGCAGCAAACACTTGAACACACACATTTCTATCGTTAAAATCGCTGCAATTTCGCTTAAGCACCGGCGCACGCGCTCACACCAACACTCGCGCGCTGGGGCAGGAAGAAAGCGATTTTCGTAGGCGCATTAAGGAACAAATGCCAATTGGCGGTGGTGCTTTGCTAAAACACTTTCAGTTGTTATTGTTGTTGCGCGTTTTATAATTCTTTCGAACACGATCTAGCGCTTAGCGTTTTTTCGCTTCGTTGTGTAGTAGCGCGCTCGTTATGCGCAGCTTTAATGGCAGCGCTCATAAGATTTTACAAACGCGCGTACAAACATAAAAATTTACAACACTCTTGTTTTTGGTGGCATGTGGCAGGAATGTGTTGCTTGGCCAGAAATGGCATTAAACTCAATGAAGATACACGCTCAGACGGTTGACCTGCCAAACGGCATTCACAGCTCAGGCTATACTGTAGCACACACACACACACATACGTGCATATCGCGGCGACACACGCGTTACAGCGTTTCATTCAATTTCGCACTTTTCTTGTTAACTGATATGTGCGCGCTTGTGCCACTCGCTGTCGCTGGCGTTTATAATAAAAATAATCGTAAAATTATGTATTTGCATAAGTAGTCACTTTCCAGACACGTTCGTCGCGTAATTACATTCACTTGTTTTTATTATTTTCTATTTTTTCTTAATATTTCACCACGTTCCTTAAAAACGACTCGCTCACTGATCCTTTTTCCATTTTCTCAATACGCGCGTACTGTGATCACGTACACTACCGAACGCTTCGACGGTCACGGCCAGACTACTGCTGAGAAGACGGCTACGGCCACGTCTCTCACAGCCATTGTCGCTCTAACACAGGTTCATCTTCAGCCGGAGTCCTCTACCGCGGGTTGTTGTTGCTGCCGTTGCTTTCTCTGATTCTCCGCTGCTGATAATACCGCCACTGTGCGCTCAGCTGCCTGCTTGCGCTCTCCGTGTGATGCACTGCAATGATAGAGAGAGGAAGAGTGTGAGAGATTTGTGTGTGAGTCGCTTCATTCAAGGGTTGACTTCTTGCATATGCACATTGTGAGAACTAAATGTTTTTAAGTGGCAATGACAAATGCTCATTTAACCTATTTTGACAAGGACGCAGGCCAACTGCGCCTAACGCCATTGACTTAAATGAATGTAAATTAATATTTATGCGAAATCAAAAAGTCCCAAATTCTCCAAATTCTCGGGTCAAGCAGAAGTGTTAAATTTTATGTCTGTCAATTGTTAAAGTCGCACATTTCGGTAAGTTTAAATAAATATGCTGTAGCGCATATTAATAAACACAGTTATATTCCCAGGCTACTGACTGTCGAAGCCGAAGATGTGCTTGATATGCTACAGTGGGTCAGTATTTCACGAAAATTGTATATTGAGAGGAGAAAAGTGAACTTCTTTGTAAAATTATTGACGAAAGCACAAAAGAAGTCTTCAGTAGTTGTTATTTTTGTGCGGGGTTAGTGGTATTTTCGAATATATTAAAAATAATCTTTGTAACTTTTAAAGAGGGGTGTTAATATTTTTAATTTACTCAAACTTACTTGCCTATTGGCTAAAAGTCATTGTTCAAATAACTATACCTAAGATTTCCTTCTAAATATTTCTGCATGCAATTTTTTGTTTCTTAACTTCTAATGAATTTTAGAGCTGGCGATGACAATTTGAGGTCTCTACCTGAGATGATCTTAAGTAGGACTATCTTTTATCCCCAACACCTTTCGAATTTTCTTTTTCTGTGGCCTTTCAAAAGCGACTTCTAATGAAATGGAATATCCTGCTAATATCCCGCTCATATATGATATTTACACTGAAAATATTGTTAATTTGGAACCTCTCAGCTCATCCTTCTGTAAAGAATGTTTTTCGCGAGCTGCGCTCAATTTATGGCCAACATAATCAGCCTACTGGGTGTATTATTCTCAACACCCAATCACCCATCTTGAGACCCTGCATACATTATTGGATAATATTCGACCGAATAGACCACGTCCAGCACGCAGTGAGCAAAAATCTAGCAGCGGCAGTGAGAGCCCAGAGTGTACACGAAGACCGTGAATAGTCGATTCGACGGTGTTCGCAACAACTCGGACTGACGTATGGAACGACTTGGCGCATCTTGAGTGAGATCTTAAATTGAAAGCGTATAAAATAAGGCTTGTGCAATAATTGAAGCCGCTCGACCTTTCTAAGCGACATCGATTCGATCTATGGACTCTTGAAAAGTTTCACGAAAATCCTTCGTTTTCGAGCCCAATTTTGTTCAGCGATGAGACCGCATTTGGGAGCAATGGAAGAGAGTGTCATTTTTTCCGGAAAAAACAACGGTTTGGTGTGCTTTGTGGGCCCGTGGAACCGTCAGTCCATATTTCTGCAAAAATTATGCCGAGGAGAACGTGGATTTATTGAGAGAACACGTCGGTGAGCAGTTATTTCACGTTTTGGGTCGATCGATTGAACACCCAAATCGTTTGATATCACACCGATAGACTTTTTTTTGTGGGGATATGTAAAGTCTAAAGTCTATACGGACAATCCCTCTGCGAATTCCCTTGGAGTAAAACATCTTCCGTGTCAATCGCCAGTTACCAGTCGAAATGCTTGAAAGAGTAATTGAAAATGGAACTCAATGGATGGGCCATCTGAGACGTAGCCACCGCCAACATTTGAAAGAGATAATCATCAAAAAATTAATGACAAAGAATGTGCTTTCGAATGATAATAAACATTACCCCCCTAACTTTGAAGTTTCTGTGTTTTTTTCTTTAAAAACAAGGGAATCTCGTAATGGATCACCCTTTACATGTTTGTAAGGAACACGTTTTCCAAATAATGATTATTCAAGTATTCATGAGAGTAAGTCTGCACATACGCCGAAGATAAGTGACGAAACACCCGATTTTCAAAGAATTTGTTTTTTGAAACTTATTTGTAAGTATACTACACTTCAAAAAACATCACTTAAAATATTTGTAAAATTTAGCTAAACTTTTAGCACTTACATTACACTGTACATCACCTACAAAATTAAACAGAAAATTCCCAAGAACTAACAAACCCACCAACATTAAAATCATATCAATATCAACATAACAATCATCATCTTCATTACAGCAAACCGCCAAGAACGAGCTGCACCCATTTACCCATACAAATGTAAATACATAGTCAAAATACATTTGAAAATTCTACAAATAACACCAAAATTAATTACGTTCATTCATTTCGAACAAATATTAGTGGAGGAATAATCTTGAAACTTCAGCGAGTTTCCATGCACACATACACACAAGCATTACGAAATGCTACATGCGTTCCTAGCTGGGCTAACTGTTATTTCCAATGGCAAATAGAACAGCATACGAGTATCGAAGACGTTTGTTGATTTCAATCGCATGACAGCAGCTCATTGTGACCAAGCAGCGCTCAAATTGCCAAAGCATGCCACTTTTCGAAGCGCAACATCATATACACAACTTCATAGCTGGAGATGTGAGTTTGGTGGCATGTGTTAGCACCCCCCTTGAGAGGCGCAGCAAGCGACTGCGTGTCTCGGGCACACACTACTTCGCTATTTGTTTGAACGTACATATGTGCTCATGTGGGGAATCCACATTCGGGCACTCGAACCCTGAACCCTGTGTCGTGAGTCCATACGCATTCCGGTCGCCCGATTTGGTTGTTGTGTGAAAATCACACTTAGCTCAACACACTGGCGGGGCTTGGGGGTGGGCATGTGTTCATAATTGATAGTATCATTAGTTATGAGGTGTGTGCTTGCGCCGGAATGATAACAGCGCCAATCATTATTGCTGGCGCTCAGTCTAAATGTGCGCTTACGGCGCGAGCATATAATATAATAAAAATCAATGAGCGCAATTAATTAAGAATATTAATGCGAGAAGGTTCACCTTATGAGGCAAGAAGTGGATTATAGAATTTCTTAGAAATAGTACATATGTATATCCTTTGGCCTTTGGATCTTGAGAACCATAAAGGGTTTCCTTTAGAGCATAGATCGAGCACACAACTGTAAAGCAGACTATTTCACCACTAAACCACCGTGAACGCTCTTTATGAGAATTTATTATTTTTTTTTTTTAACTATAAAACTTGCGGCTACGGAAAACTATTCGCAAACAAACCTCACATAAACAACAATCAAATTTGAACCCATCGAAGCGGCGTGACATTCACAAAATACCAAATTAATTAAAGAATTTAATCAAACGACAACTTTTAACTTCAGCAAATATATTCAAAGTTAATTTTATCTTATTTCGCGATTTGCCAGGTTTTCAACTTCGCTTCAGCGCCATAAAAGCGTTTATGCCACACAAGAGATGTCATGGTGATGATAAAGCTGAGCAACTAAATACTCGAGAAAAAAATTATAAAAAATTGAATTCAATACACGCGAAAGCAATTATTGGTTGCGCTTGAAGCAATATTGCGGTAAATACGAGTGTCGCTTTAAAAGTCAGTGACTTTTCAAATAACCGTGGGTTATGATTAATTACTTCGCACACTTGACAAGGCTACAGAGATCAATATAATACTGACAATAATTACTCCATGATTCTCCAAGAATTATATGGAGTAGAAAAGTCGTTCATTCATTGCTCTAGAAAAGATAAAACGATCCAAACCAACACTATTCAAAGGAAGCGAGGCTGTAAGAAATATTTTCTCAGTGTAACGAGCCACCTATCTGTCTGTCTCTATATACGAAAACTAATCCACTCGTTCCTGAGATATTGATCTGAAAACTTGCACACATCCTTGACGCCTTTACAAAAGCTGCTCATTTCTCGGCAGCATCGATAAGTGTTATCAAAATCAAGTCCTGTTATGGAAACTTTTTTATTTGTCAAGATATGTTTACGGAATTGGTATGAGTTATTGCCCAAGTCAACGCAACAAGCTACGAAGAAATTATTCAGATCGGACCAAATACAAACCGACCAATCAAATTCGAGATAAACATCTTCATAAAATACACCTTTTCCTTGCAAGTAACTTTAATGCGACTTGAATGTTATTTATATCAAAGAGTGTATCAACCCTTAGCTCTCTTTCATCCTTTCATTGGGTCCTAAACCCAATACATCGCCCTGAGGAGGGATCCCACGTCACTGTTTGCAGTCATAACTACGAATTCGTGGATAGTTTCGTTTATCTCGGAACCAGCATAAACACAACAACCTGGTCAACCTGGAAATCCAACCCAGAATAACTCTTGCCAACAGGTGCAACTTCGGACTGAGTAGGCACTCTCTCGACGAACAAAAACCAAATTCTTGAAGTCACTCATTATTCCCTTCCAGCTATGTATATGGTGAAGAGGCATAGACGATGCCAACATCTAATGAGTCGACGCTGCGAGTTTTCGAGAGAAAGGTTCGAAGAGGTTTATCTCTTCGTCTCATCGAACCACTCTCGTAATTATCGCAATGCAAATTCAAAGGCAATCACAAACGGATTTGCTTTTTGGCTTTATTCAACTTTTCGACGCTGGAAAATGCTAAAAGTCAATGGGACAGCGACGTTGGCACCGTTCAAGCCACACGTTCCACCACGCAGCGCAGCCAGGTGTCCGCACAAACAGTCCAAGGGGAGGGCAGTAGCAGAGCTAGGTGGATCCACTGTAAACAGTGACACCAACTATATTCTTGGCAAATATAAACAAACTGCCAATTCAAGTGAATGGGTGTGTGTGTGTTCCTAAGAGCTTGTGTTGATTGCTGCGAACGTGATTAATTCCATTGTTTTGCCAGCAAACGCGCAGCAACAAGCTTTGTTAATAAGTTACGACAACAACAGCAAAGTGCATAAATATTTTATTACATCACATTGTTTATGTACACAGCTAAGCATTAGCGCAAACACACACACACACATATACATACACAAACATTAGCCGGTTTTGCGGCTTTTTGCCTAATCGAATCGAA